ATGAACGAGAACGGCTTTCCTGGGAAGCTGATCAGACTGATCAAAGCAACGATGGACGGTGTGCAAAACTGCGTAAGGGTTTTGGGTGAACTATCCAGTTCATTAGAATCTCGCCGAGGACTGCGACAAGGTGACGAACTCTCAGGCCTACTCATCAATCGCTCTAGAAGGTGTAATGCAACGTGCCGGGCTCAACAGCCGGGGTACGATTTTCACGAAATCCGGTCAATTTGTGTGCTTTGCGGACGACATGGACATCATCGCAAGAACATTTGGAACGGTGGCAGAACTATACACCCGCCTGAAACACGAAGCAGCAAAGGTCGGGCTGGTGGTGAGTGCGTCAAAAATAAAGTACATGCTAGTAGGCGGAGCCGAACATGACAGGTTTCGTCTAGGAAGTAATGATCGATGGTCACGATAGACGCGGATACTTTCGAGGTAGAGGAGGAATTCGTTTACCTTGGATCCTTACTGACGGCTGACAACAATGTGAGTCGTGAAATACGAAGGCGCATCATCAGTGGAAGTCGTGCCTACTACGGGCTCCAGAAGAAACTACGGTCAAAAAAGATTCACCCCCGCACCAAATGTACCATGTACAGAACGCTCATAAGACCGGTGGTCCCCTATGGACACAAGACATGGACTATGCTATCTTTGGCGGTGTGCAGGAGAACAGTGAGTGGCGGCGAAGAATGAACCACGAGCTCGCTGCACTCTACGGTGAACCCAGCATCCAGAAGGTGGCCAAAGCCGGTAGGATGAGGTGGGCAGGACAACAACCCTGCAAAGTTGGTGTTTGCTACTGATCCGGTTGGCACAAGAAAGCGTGCAGCGCAGATAGCACGATGGGCGGACCAGGTAGAGCGTGATCTAGCGAGCACTGGGCATGACCGAGAATGGAGAGCGGCAGCCGCAAACCGAGTATTGTGGCGTACTATTGTTGATTATGTCTTATCTTAAATGTGATGTTGTACAAATAAATGTAATGTAACACCAACGCTCTGGACTGCCTGTCCATAAGACCAATTGCTAGTCAAATCCGCTCTTTCCCAGATTGTGCCAAACCGTTCTGGAAACTTACCAAAATGCTTAAAAACAAGCCTAGGCCCATTTCACCACTGATACCGCTGAATCGTTCCGACGATTCAGTTGTTCATCTGATAACCTCTGTGCAGTGATAGGTCAACGCTTCGTCAGCTCTAACAATCTTGGACAGATCACAATAAGCCTACACGAGGCTGCGGTTACTGAAAACGCAGCCAACCTCCAACAGATTGCCAAAATCTTTTCTGAGGATGCTGCACAGCTGATGAATTGATGGCCTATATCAAATCAACATCCTCAATCTGGAACTCAAACATTTTGATTCTAGATTCTTCAACCATCTGAAAATCAGTGCCTCCAACTTTGCTACTTCCACTCGGAATGGAAGTCATTTAAAGTCATACCCATCCGGAAACTTGGGAAGGATCCTTCCTCTCCTACAACTTACAGACCCATCAGCTCTCCCTCAAGGTTATCCAAGCTGTTCAAAAGGGCAGTTAACAGCCGGCTAACAACTGCCGAAGAAAACAATATCTTACTCGAGGAGCAGTTTGGTTTTCGAAATCGACCGACCACCAACTAACCCGAGTAGCAAACATTCTAAGACGGAACAAGGCTGTTTCTAAAATATCTGCTGAACATCTGAAAAAGCGTTTGACAATGTCTGGTATGATGGATTCCATAGTTGTTCTAAATAGGTTTCGAACGATATTTACTCGGACTTACCTTAGGAGAATTTTTCAATCTCAAAATGTTCAGGACGGTGGCGGACAAAAATCTAACATCGTTGTGTTCAAAAGTCGAGAACCGAACATCGTTAATCAATAATCGAGAATTGAGATTCTTAAATGGGCAACAAAAATTGATAATTGGAGGCTATAGAGAATGAAGAATCGAGAATCTAAATTCAAAAATAGGCAATTGAGAACCGGAAATCGCAAATCGAGAATTGAAAATCAACCACCAAATCGATATGACTGGGCTGATCGCAAGCGGCGTGGTACCAACCAAACGACAGGTGCTCAGATGCTTGATGACACTGTTTGATCCACTTGGTTTGGCAGCACCGTATGTGCCTACCGTATTAAGGAAGCCCCTGATCCACTCGACCCAGACGTGCTTCCTGTCGTCGTAGCCGTTCTGGACCTGAGGTCGTAGTTGGTGACGGGGTCTTCCAACCGCTGTTTTCAGCCAATTTTCTGTTTCACAATATTGCTCCATCTACCGAACCTGCTGCATCCAGTACCGATCACCGCACCTACAAACCAGAACGCACTGCCTGCCGCCTCATGGAAGCCCCTGATCCCCTCAACTCAGTCGAGCCTGCTGGTTCCCGCCGTCGTAGTCGTTCTGGCCGCCCTGTTGTTAAGGACGGTGATGGGGTCTTCCAAGCTTCCAACTTGCTCCCAAGTTTCAGCTCTGTTCGAGGGAATGCTGCAAACGTTAGAACCCGTTCAATCGACCGGAATGGCAGAGAAAGCACAACCGACACGATAGTTGCTTCGTGTGATCCGGCAAAATCTCAACTACATTTTTATTAAAACCAAAATCACCGACGTCTTCCTTGCAACCTCGGAAAACAGTTATGATGTGTTTGTTTTCACGGAAACATGGCTCGACGACCGAATTAAATCATGTCAATTGTTCGGTGATGGATTCAGCGTTTATCGAACCGATCGTTCTGCTTTGAACAGTACCAGGACAGGTGGTGGAGGTGTTTTAATAGCTGTTTCTAACAAACTCGAAGCAGCTTTAGTGCAAACCTCTTCGGGTGCAAGCATGGAGAGCATATGGGTAAAGATCTCATCCGAAACAAGGTTTATCTTCGTTGGTGTTTCATACGTACCACCAGAGAAGTCCGCTGATTGCGAGTGCATCAAATCCATTTGTTGAGAACGTCGATGAACATGATCGTGACTTTAGTAAAGTTGATTATGACGCACTCAACTCTATGCTTTCTCAAGTTGATTGGTCTACTGTTTTTTGGTGTAGCAACGTAGATGATGCTGTTAGTTGCTTCAACAGTATACTGCGCGATTGCTTCACATTCTGTGTTCCGTTGTCAAGACCTCGGAGAAAACCTGCTTAGTCCAATTCTTGCTTACAGTGCCTTCGACGTATTCGATCTAAGATGCTTAAACGCTTCTCGGCACGCAAAAATGGCATCACCAAACTGGCGTTTGCACGAACTAGTCGCAACTATCGGAGCTATAACCGTTACTTGTACGGCAGATACGTAAGACGTGTTCAGGACAATCTGCGAAGAAATCCTAAACAGTTCTGGAATTTTGTAAAAACTAAGTGAAATGAAAGCGGCCTTCCATCTACCATGCGCATGGAAGATCAATCTGCCTCCACCGCAGAAGCCAAATGCGAACTATTTGCTGCACGATTTGCGAGTGTTTTTCAGGCATCAACTGCGTCTCCATCGGAAGTTGAAACTGCGACAAGGTCCCTGCCCGTGGACGCATTCGGCATTGATATTTTCGATGTTAATCAGACGATGGTGGAGTGCATATTGAAAAAATGTAGTGGCATGTTGATTACACCTCTGCAAGCTATATTCAACCTCTCTCTTTGAAGCCAGCAGTTTCCAATCGCTTGGAAGATGTCATACATGCAGCCTATCTTTAAGAAAGGCAGTAAAGTGGATGTGTCGAACTATCGTGGAATAACTTCGTTGCCTGCCGGATCCAAATGCTTCGAGATAATTCTCAATGCTGTTATGCTCCAGGCCTGTTAAACGTACATTTCAACATCTCAGCTTGGATTTTTTCAGCAACGTTCAGTCATCACTAATCTGTGTGAATAAACGTCGTTTTGTATCAGCAAAATGAAGCAAGGAGGTCAAATATTCTGTTGGCTAAGCTGGAGCGACTAGGAGCATCTTCGAGAATTTGTAGTTGGCTGAGATCATATTTGACTGGCCGTCGATTGTTCGTGACAATTGGATCAGCCGTGTCTGCACCTTTCATTCCTCGATGTGGTGTGCCGCAAGGGAGCAAGTTGGGGCCGCTGTTATTTGCGTTGTTCTTCAATGATGTGTCCCACGTTCTTCTGAATTGCTGCCTAATGTTCTACGCAGACGATTTGAAAATCTACCTGGTTGTTAGGAGCACTGAATCATCTAGCAGTCAGTGAGTCCAAATGCTGTATCATATCCTTTCGAAGAACGAGAAATCCTATCCTATATGATTATACTATCAATGGCACTGTACTGAATCGGGTTGATCATGTTAAAGACTTGGGTGTGGTACTGGATTATCAACTCACATTCAAGATGCACTATTCGGAAATAGTTGATAAAGCAAATCGTCAACTTGGATTTATTCTCAAGATAGCGAACGAATTTGATGACCCTCTATATTTGCGATCTCTGTATTGCTCGCTAGTTAGTTCAATTCTTGAATTTGCTTCTGCCGTCTGGTCTCCGTACGATGCTGTGTGGATTTCACGAATCGAATCAGTGCAGCAGAAATTTGTCAGATGTGCTATACGAGGCTTGCCATGGACCGACTCATTACGACTACCACCCTACGAGCACCGCTGTGCGCTGCTTGGTATTGAACCGCTAGTGGATAGACGCAAGTTCAGCCAAGCTATCTTAGGAGCCAAAATTTTACGCTCCAAAATAGACTGCCCTGCATTGCTGAGTCAGCTCAACATCTACGCCCCTAAACGAGTGCTGCGATCTAGACAGCTAATGCGCCAGCCAATGAGACGAACACAGTACGGATCCAACAATCCCATCGATTCGATAAGTCGAAGACTCCAAGACAATTACAGCTTGTTTGTCTTCAATATCACTACCAACGTCTTTCGAAACGTCTTTTTCTGTACAAGGTGTTAAAGTTTTTTTTAGTTAAGTTAAGACCACGATGTCAGATGGATTTATAGCATAAATACAAATACAAATAAAAAAAATCGACAATGAACTAAACTGAACTTACCAATCGTTCGGGAACGCGCGCCGCGTACCGTTCGAACTCCCGTCCCTGTTCGATGGTCATTCCATCAACAGTCCAAGCGATCTGCGGTGCTGGATTAGACAGAATCTCGATGGTAACATCCACGGTGCGTCCCACCGTCAACGAAGGAACGATCGTTTCCGGAAGGGCTTGTGGGGCATCTTAAAGAAGGGAAAACAAATTTCAAATGTCAACCTCTGTCTGAGACGATTGCTGCAAAATGAACTGCTTACAGTTGACGGTGATCTGCAGGCTCGTTTCCGACATTCCTTCAGGGTAGGCAATGTGCTTGGCTCGACAGATCAACCGCTTTCCACTGTCGCTGGCATGAATGATGCGTCGTAGGCTCACGAAAACTGAGTATCCTTGTTCTTCCTCCCGATATTCAGGCTGAGAGACTCCCTCGTAGATCGGCTCGTTATCTGGGTTTGGAAGGGATTTTCGTTAGTTTGTTCTAATATTGATCTGGTTATTCAGTACGTACCCAAGAACCAAAACAGCTCAGCGGCAGGACTTCCAAACTCAGCGCCACAGTGAACTTCCATTTCAGTATCCACCTCGAAGGATACAGCAGAAGATGGCTTGACCAGTTGAATCTGTGGCGGCTTTGGTGCCACTGTGAATGGAAAGAAAAATAATCAAAATTCTCTTCTTAATTTCGTTGCAGGTAAGCCCAGCGTCTACTACACACCTGCCACTACAACGTTGATGGTCCCCTCGAAGCCTTGACCATCAAACAGCGTACACTTGAGTTCACCGTTGTGGGCCGTCGTTATCCGATCTATCGTTACGCCACAGGCTCCAGCTTCGAAGCCGGCTCCAAAGTAGGTCATCCCATCCTTTTGCGGTTCGCCGGGTCTCAGCGATACTTGGTTGCTGTGTGGTAAGGCGATCCTGTAATTTGAAATTTTTCGATTAATTATGGTAATCTTCAACACTGATTTAGTCAACCTACGTGCAAAACTGAATCGGTCGTCCAAGTCGACACAGCAGACTAACATTTCTCTGATTCTCCGTAACTAATATCTCCTTTGGGTCCGTATCGACCTGAACTTGTGCTGTGATGATGGCTGCAAGTAGAAGAGCATAGATAAAAATATTAATCATTAAAGCATTCAAAACAAATCATCATCAAATCCCAAAACAAAAAGCACAACGGAGATTACGCTAATCTCGAACCGCAAAGTGCGTGCACTAAAGTCAACCAAAAGCCAAATTTATCTTGACTTCGTGGAAATCCACCGGTGGTGGGTGGAAGCACTTTCCGTCTACTTATTCAATGTTGTCCTTCTCGTCAGTCACTCATTAATCCTGAACCTAATCTCATTTCAATCACTCCCTTACCCCAGTTCTGACAGGCTATCGCCAAGCGAAACCAACAGGCCTAAAAAGTTCGTCGAGAGAAAAGGAAAATCCAAAATCACAACTGCGGGCCGATGCTCTAAACTGGTTGAGGAAGTTTTCAAATTTTCCATCCCTCTCTCCTCGCTGCTGCCATCATCGCCATCGGATCGGATTTATTTGCTGTTGTTTGGAATTCATTAATTTTCCCAGACAGCACCAAGCGACATCCATGGCAGCTTCTTGTTGCCCAGAGGACAGAATTCCGCGCGGGGAAAAAATGATGAAGACGGCACGAGGAGAAGTGAAATATTCTCATTATCCTTGACTGATTAACTAATTAAAGAGGTCGTTTGGATTGAACCGCGCTGCATGATACTGCTTCGGACGGGTTGCGTTGGTGGGCGGTGGCGTGTGAAGTTTGGCTGGAATTCAGGAATGATGGGAATTTAAATCGATAGCAATTTAAAGCTGATGAAGGGAGGTTCAATATTTAACACTCATAATTGCAAATTCCAATATCCAAAATTCCATGATTAAGGAACACTGGACACACGAATATTAGGTTGTTAAAATTTGAATAATAAAAGAAGTACAATGAAGAATTTGACACTTCAAAATGGATCCATTGTAAAATGGACAAATATAAGAAAAAAATAGTTTTAACTAAGGCAATAGAAAATGGACTCTTGAATATTAACAGTTGAAACATTGACGAACAAAGAATGGGCTACCCCATATGTGTTGAAGATTTGTGTAGAAGAAGTTTAGATTGCGAGAAAGGGCATTACAAGTTACGTTAACAAAAACTGAGTGGCCCTATTCTATTAGTGTTCGATGAATGTAGTTAACATTTTGTTGGATCTTTTGCAAAGGTATCTGATCTCAGCTTGAATATATTAACAGCCAGAATTCATGGTAAGAATATGTTAATTCTATTTTTCTTAAATGGGAGTCAGAGTCAGAGTCGATGTCAGACATTTTCAAATCAGAGGAGTCGACCAGTTTGGAATGAATAATACAATGAAAACTGAACAATATAAATAAGAAAACTAAAACACACGCACACGACAGTAGAGAAATAAAATATGGAATGTTAAAAACTGATCAATTGAAAATAGTTAAATAAGAAATAATGATGAATTTGAAAATAGCTCGTGGAAAATTGAAAATAGAAATGCGATCGATGAAAATTGGGACTGATATGGAGTTGTCCATATTACATGTGGACAGTTTGAGTGAGAAGTGGGCTGGCAACTGTCCACTGCTCACGAAATAAATAAAAAAAAGAATGCATGACTGGGCACGAAGAAGTCCTTAAACTCTCAAAAAACTGTTCATGAGGCTTATGGACAGCATCTTATTCAATATTTTAAAGAAGTCAATTGAAAGTTTAACAATTTAAAAATGGCACAATTGATCATAAGGCTATAACAATGGACTATTGACAGATTCACTATTAAAAATTGGTCAGTTAATAATGGATTAATTGAAAATTAAACATTTGAAACATGTACAATCACACACAGCTCAAAATAGAAGAATTGAAAATTGAACATTTCAACCTGAACATTGCATTAGGTCCTAAGTAACATTGACAGATTCTCTTCGTCGACTTTCTCTTTGTATTCCAGTGGCCATGTAAAGACCTTCTTAGGAATTTTCTACACACAGATTGGAAAAAAAAAGGTTTTATCTAGCATCTAATACGATAAACACAACAAGAAACAAGTATGTGCTCAAGTTATTAACAAAAGAAAAAGTCGACGAAGAGAATCGATCAATATTACTTAGGACCTAATGCAATGTTCAGCTTGATTTATATATCTGTTAATTAAAAATTGGACAAATATAAATTAACCAATTGCAAATTGAGCTATTTAGAAATGCTCAGATGAAAATTCATAAAATTGACCATTAAATGAAATGAACAATCGAACATTGGACAATTCACCCTAAGACTTTTGAACATAAGACAACCAAAAATTTACAGTAAGAAAATAAGCAATTTAAAATAAAGTACATCATTATTTTCAATTCATAAATTCATGAATATTGAAAAATCAATGATTAAAAATTTGGAAGCGGCAAATTGGAAAATTTAAATCAAGAAATTTAAAATTTGACTTTTGAAATTTCTCAGATGATAAATTTCAGCTTATTACAAGCTGAGTATACAGTGTTCACTCGGTTGTCGACAGAAGCAGACCACTCTCAATATGTGTCACGCGATCGTCTGTTTACTCGGCAGCAACCATTGTGTGGTCCTGCTCATTGTTTTTCATCAGAAGTTCTTTCAGTCGATGCGTCGTCGACTTTTGAAAGCAACCGTTTCGTGATGATTGTGCGAGTGCTGACCACGTTTTGCGTCCATTGCTGCAATTGAAGCGCTCTGACTCCCGTTGGCGAATCTGCCATACAATGAAACTACTGGAAGCGGCTCCCGTTCTGGTGGCGGAGGCTTATTGGATAGCGGAAGATAAAATGTTTATTGTGTACCTTTTGACTATGATTTTAAGATGTATTGTATCGTGAACAAGAATCATTGGCTCTGTAACGATAATTCGGTTGAGCCTTATCAAATAAATGATTAAGAAACTACAAGGGACAGCCCTTTGGGGTTGTACGCAATGGTGACGTAGGTCTACGTGGTCTTATATAATAAATCTTATTTTTAACTGCAGCAGGTGCTTGTGTTTTGTGTAGGAATAGGAATTTTAGCGGGGTTCTCTCTGTTTATATTCTTTAGCCTTATCAAATAAATTAATAAACCAAACAAAATAAGCTGAGTAAGCAATTTTTAGCAGAAGAAGCAAATTTATGCCTGATTAAGCTCTTATTCAGCTTTCAATATTTGTTAGGGATTGAACAATTGACCATTGTACGTTCGAACATTAGGCGTTTGAACATTGGACGATGGAGCATTTAACATTGGACTATTGATCATTGGACAATTGGCATTGGACCAATGAACATTTGGCAATTGAACATTGGACATTTGAAAATTGAACATTTCAACACTTGAAGTTTTTAAATTGGACATTTTATCGTTGGAAATTTGAACATTGGGCAACTGAACATTGGACAATTGAATGTGGACATTTAAGTTTTGGAAAATTGATTATAAGACAATTGAAAATAGGTAAACCAAAAGTTTGATAGCAAGAAAATTGGCTAATGAAAATAGAACAACCAAAAATTGGTAATTGAAAATGAGCAGCTGATAAATGAACAAATTCAAAAATTCAAAATATGCACAAATAAATATTGGATAAACGAACATAAAATTATTAAAAATTGGGTACAAAAAGAGAATATTGACAAATAAATGAATTTAACTGTTGTACAAATAAACTATGGTCAGTAAGATTAAATATTGATAACTGAGTGAAAAAATGTTGAAAAAATTAACGATTCAAAATTAGACAGCTGAAAACTGAACATTGAAAAATAGGCTAATGAAAATTGATCAAATGAAAAATAAACAAAACGAAAAATTATAAATTGGAACAATTGAACAGTGCTTCAAAATCTCGGCAATACTTGGTGATATTGTGAACGATTCTCTTCATCGACTTTCTCTTTGGTTTACCACGGCAACTTAAACGAATTTAAAATTTAAAAGCTCGCTAAGCTCGCTGCACAGTTCGACAGAAGATGATGTAAGCTTGCGCCTGAAACAACAAACTGAATGGGAAATCAATTTGCATTTGGGTTATTCGCGAAAGAGAATCGATCAACAATGATAGGCCCTTTTCTCGTGTTGCGCGAGATTTTTGTCAATATTGCGCCTAAGTCTGAAAAGACAATGGCAAAGCTCAGCACTGCATTGAACAGTTCAACATTGGACAATTGAACATTGAACATTTGAACATTGGTCAATTGAATATTGGCCAATTGAACATTGGTAAATTAGAAATTTGGCAATCGAAAATTTAACTATGTATTCCAAATTGATCAGTTGACAAATGTATAAAATGGACAATTAGAAATTGCAACAATTGAACATTGGCAATAAAATATTGGAAAATGTAGCATTGGACAATCAAAAAATTGTACAATTTTATATTGGTTAATTGAAAATTGGACAATTAAACATAAGGTTATTGAAAAAATGACAACCAAAAGTTTTACATTAGGAAAATGAGTAGTTGATAATATATTTGTGCACAATCAAGCATATAATTATAATCTAACTGAATTGATGAGCATTTAAGCAGCATTGTTGTATGCCTTATTCCGATGTTTATTTTTTAATTCTACTAATAGTAGAGCTAAGCAAAAGGTTATTAATAATTGGATAGAAAATAGGAATATTGAAATATGAATGACTACAAATTTAACAGTTGAAAATTCAAAAAAATTAAATTTGGGCAAATTAAATTGGACTACTGCATGAATTTAGCATTGGACAATTTGACATTGGACATTTTAAAATTGGACAATTAAACAATGGACATTGAAACATTCAACACTGAACAATGAACAAAAATTGTAACAATTGAACAGTGGGTGTACATTTGACAAATGAACATTGAACAATTGAACGTTGGAAAATTAGAAATTTGGCAATTGAAAATTGTGCTATTAAAAAATGTTCAGTTGGAAAATGTTTTAAATTGAACAACTAGAATTTGAACCAATTGAACATTGAACATTAAAATTTAACTATTCGAAATTTCTCAGTTGAAAAATTTATTGGAACTATTGAACATTGGACCATACAACA